GGCTGTGACGAGGGGGCCCACTTCCCCCTCCATTGCCTATGCCTCGGAGCTCTGTTGGGGTCTGGAAGTGTCTGTCGCCCTCTCCGGTAAGCCCACCACCCGCCTTCGGATGTGCAGATACGATTGCTCAGTCATGCGTATGCACAAACTTCAGTTTTTAAAAAAAATCCATCCCATTTGCCACGAAAGCGGCGCCTAGCGATTGCTGGTGTGATCGCGCCACACCGCTTCTTTGCCCCGCTGCAGGATCATCGTGTGATCGGCACCTGCCCCCTAACCACGGGACCTCGAAGGGATGTCTGATCGCGCAACCGCACGTTATTTTCCTCCGGGGCAAACAGCCACGCTTCCCCCTCGCATTTTCCGGCCCGTATGAGTGTGTTCCATTATTAATGAAGTCAAAAATGCAAGATCCTTCAGCATCTCAGGGTTGTATTCTCATGCTTACTTTCTCCCAGCAGGAGGACATTTCCAGAGGGGGGCGTGTGTCTGACTTTTGCTCGTTTCTCTGCCCCACTGTGAATCATCACATTATCCTGAGCACAGTTGCTGGGTGCTCCTGACCCGTGGGAGCAGATGGAGAGTTCTGCTTTGTTTAGTGGAACTTGGTACACACAGTCCTCTGTTGCTCATTTAAAACATAATGAACATTCAGAAATTTCTGTATGTTGAATTTTCCTAGATTAGCAACAATGACTGTTTCCATTCAATTTATACGCAAAGCAAATCAGGACTCAAGGATTTTACCTATGAAAAACTTTTTAGGGTGCAATTATGCATTACAAAAAACATAAGGCTGCCAATACGTGTCAAGTTCTCCCCCAATGTCTTTTAGTACATTTTATCTTGATGTCGTTTATACTGTATAGTTTCCTACCAGTACTTGACTTCATTAGCTGGTGGCAGAGCTGAGAACACAAGTAATAGTGACAACAGTATACTGGGACACCTGTGCTACATGATATGGAGGGGGTGGTGAGGGGAAAATCTTGACAACTCGACATTTTCAGCAGTAGACCTGTTTTTCTTTTATGACGAATATGCATTAGAATAGAATTCTGTGTGTGGACAAGACATCCAGACTTAATATGAAAAGGAGCTCATGATGCAATCAATGACAGCCAGTGCTTCTCACTGTTGATTACAGAAGAATCTGAGCTTCATTGCCTCCTGTACCCAATTAGTGCACCTGTAAATTAAGTCCATAACACAAGAAAATTCTTTTCAGAGTACTCCTATTTTACTAAGTGGAAAATTTAATGGTATATTCTTTTTGTGAACAGATTAAACATATTTTTTATCTATTCATGCGTTATGGATGAGAGAATACCCCAAGAAGACTATTTCAACAACGTACTTCACCAGGGTGCAGTCGATCCCAGTTTTCATTAATGTAGGTCATAAGTTCAAGCTCTGAATCAAAATATTTCTTTTTGTGAATAACACTTAGGTTGTAAAGGCATAGATGTGCTATGTCCACCCTAGAATTCAAAATGTCAATAGTTAGCACATTTTAGCATTTTATAAATGCAAGCGCAATCTGGCAAGAAAACAAGACTATTGGCTTACTGTGCCAAGTTATGAAGTTCACAAAGTTTTGACAGCTTTATTAAACCTGTGGCAGGGAACATTCTAGGGCCAAAGGGAAGCAGCATGGTAGCACTTTTAGCCACAATGGAAGTAGCAACAGTATGGTTAGAAGTGATGGAATGCAACTGCAACAGGTGTAGCTGACCCATCAGCACTTTGGGGGGGTGAGAGAGTGCGTGCATTTAGTGCCATCAAGTCACTTCTGACTTACAGCAACCCTATGAATTAATGACCTCTGTTTTCTGACAGTAATGTGGTTTCATCTGCATATCAGGGAAAAGTGGAGGTACTTTAAAAAGACTCCCCTCCAGACAGTACAGGACAGCCAGAACGCCCTGAGGAAGGAAGGCTGAGGGAAGCCAAGCCTGACTCAGTGTTAGACAGTAAAGACAGTACAGGTAACAGAGATACCGTTGCCCAAAAATCACAGCTGTGTGAGCCCTAGCACTATGCACTAACTGCAGAGGAGCTTAGACCCTAGAACAGATGCAAGACAGCACTGACTGAGGCTGTGGACAAGCCAAGATGGGACAATGATGAAGTGAGCTTTCTGAGTTTCAGGATTGCATAGAAGCAAAGGCTCAGGCACCTGGCAGGTCAAGAGCTGGATCTGTACCTACTAAGGGTCCAGGTCAAGGCATGATGTTATTTGAATCCCATGTAATCTTACGTAGTAGTTTACTAGAAACTCATTCTACGCTGCTTCAGAATTCCTTAGCTGATTAACTTGAAGCTAACTGAAAAGAAAGAACACTGAACAGTAGTAATACAAGGTAATTACTTACGTTCCTCCATTGTTCAAGGGCAAATATGTTTTTAGAGCAGACAACAGCTAGGAAAATGTGCAACACAGTTCTACTCTGAAGTTGTTCTTACCATTGCAAGGGTAAACGTTTGAGGTATTCTGGTCCAGAACTACAAACTGAACATATGAATGTATAAAACCTTTAAAAAAAAGTGAGAAAGCACAAAATGTAAAGCATGTTCAATTATTTGAAAATGTGTATCTGTAATCAATACTATTAGCAAGCAGTCCAATTTTGCAAGGTGTTTAGGATTTCCAGATCTAAACTAGTAACCAACATATACTGCACAGCTGAAACCCATCCAACTTGCAATGAATTTAACAGGCACATCCAAGGCTATCCACCAGCTATAAATCTCCAATGAATGGAGCCTAAAATGTGTGTGTGTATAAATAAATAAACTTTTAGGGGCATAAATACAATAGGTGAGATCCTACCAGTTCATTCTGATTCTGCCAGCATACTCCCCCAGGAGAAGGGCATTGCACTACTGCACAAGTGTCTTTCTGTGTGCAAGAACTTCTTGTATCAATGGAAAGCTACTTGCAATGGAGGAACACAGTAGCGGCAGCTGAACAAACTGGTAAGATACAACCCATTAGTTCACTGATTAAATACTAAGACAAATACAACAATGATAAACATACAGGATCTTACCTGTCACCAAAAAGCATTGGCTTTTGGAGGCACTGCACGCAAGCCTCATGAAACCACTGTTTACATTTGCAGCACTGTAGCATCTTCAAATACCAGCTTCATTAAGAGAAATTAGAAAAAATGGGTTGTGGTAAGGGTTCCCTATTATAGCACAGCAATGTTTCATTCTGAACTACACCAAGATTAAAAGTACCTCTAAACATATTTTTGATTAAATATTTTTGCTGCAAGTACATACCTAGGGAAGCCTTTGTACAGTGCCTTCCTGATTTATGTACTTGTGGCAAACTGCAGAGGCACCACACTACAGCATGGATGTACAGATATTTTTCTCACCCCCCCCCAGGGAAATTACCTTTTGGGAGAAGAAAGTGACATGCTTAGAAAACATTGGGCATACTTCAATATTTTAGCTGTGAAATCTGAATAATCTATGCCCATGTGTATCCCAGGCATACCCTTTCATGGTGACTCATGCCAAGTAATCATGTGGGCTTCAACAGTGCTTCTCTGCTGCTTGTTCATGCTACAGAATAACAACTGCTTGAGCAACCCATATTGCACATTTCCCCATACTTGGAACATCAAAGCAACAAAATTAATTCGAGACAACATTGTTGGTAGCCATACCGCCTGGCTGTATTTGAAACCTGCTTCTGGAAACCCACCCTGGTTGTTAGCCTTATTCACACACCATCCCCTTTTTGGGAATGCCATCCTTGTTCCTAAATTTGTGTAAAACTGGCCTCTGCTGTACAACCAGAGTATCACACAATATGAGCACAGCAAATTTTACCCTACTCCCATTGAAAATAGCATCCTGATACAATGTATGTTTATTTGGAAGCATCTCAATTCAAATGAGGCCAACTCCCAGCAAAGCACAGGACTTCATTCGATCTACAATTCAATGCTATCCTATACAGAAATCAACAAACTTAATCTGGAATAAAATCTGCCTAAAATCTGCATGCACACATTTGTCTCAAATACAGACTTCATAAACCAAAGTATAGCAATGTAGTCAAAGCCTGATATTGCTGGTGAAATAGCATAATGTAGCACCTTCTTATTAGTATACGCTTATTTCTGTGAAATGTAAGCCAGCAGTCATACATATCATTGGCAACAAGTATGTAGGAATACATTTGACAGAGAACCCTTTTATAAATATTTTTTAACTTACTCTCCAGGACCTCCACAGTAGCAATAACACTGCTGGGCATTCGTTTTATGGCCTGCATCCCATTCAAGGTCTGCTACACTGTAAGGCAATGTTTGCTTCATGACTTGTAGGGCTTTGGCATTTGGTCCTTTCTTAAGTGCGCCACCTCTCTGAATGAAGACATATTGAAAGAGCAAATGCTAGTGTCCAGTGCCATGCAGAAATAAAATATTTCAGCAGTAGTCACTTTATTAAGTAGAATCATAGAATCATAGAGTTGGAAGGGGCCATACAGACCATCTAGTCCAACCCCCCTGCCCAATGTAGGTCCAACCTAAAGTATCTCTGACAAATATTCGTCCAGCCTCTTCTTGAAAGCTGTCAGTGAAGGGGAGCTAACCACCTCCCTAGGCAGCTGATTCCACCTTTGAACCACTCTGACCGTGAAAAAGTTTTTCCTAATATCCAGCCGATACCTTTCTGCATGTAATTTAAACCCATTGCTTCAGGTCCTATCCTCTGCTGCCAACTGGAACAGCTCCTCGCCCTCCTCCAAATGACAGCCTTTCAAATATTTAAAGAGAGCAATCATGTCCCCCCTCAATCTCCTCTTCAATTTAAACATTCCCAAGGCCCTTATCCTTTCCTTGTAGGGCTTAGTCTCCAGACCCCTGATCATCCTAGTCACTCTCTTCTGCATCCTCTCGATTTTGCCCGCATCCTTTTAAAAGTGAGGCCTCCAGAACTGCACACAGTACTCGAGATGTGGCCTGACCAAGGAAGTATACAGACAGGCTATGACCTCCTGCGATTTCGACGCTATGGCCCTTTTAATACAACCCAAGACTGAATTAGCCTTTTTTGCCACCATATAACACTGACTGTCATATTTAGTTTACAGTCCACTCTTACCACAAGATCTCTTTCGCATACACTACCCATCCAGTATTTGTGCTTGACATTTTTGTGGCCCAGACGTAATACTGTGCATTTATCGTTGTTGAATTGCATCCTATTTGCAACTGCCCACTTCTCCAGAGTATTCAAGTCTTGCTGAATTTTAACTCTATCTTCTTGGGTGTTTGCTACGGCTCCCAATTTGGTATCATCAACAAATTTAATGAGTAGCCCTTCTGCCCCTTCATCCAGATCACTGATAAAAATATTGAAAAGTACCGGGCCCAAAACCAAGCCCTGCAGCACCCCACTGGACACCTCCCTCCAATCTGATGAAACGCCATTAACCACCACTCTTGGGTGCAGTCCTCTAACCAGTACCCTATCCACCGCACTGTCCTACAGTCCAGTCCACAGTCTTCCAGTTTTCCCATCAGAATGTCATGGGGAACCTTATCAAAAGCTTTACTGAAATCCAGGTAACTCACATCAACAGAGTAGTCAGCATACCTTTGTTGTTGTTGCGAAGACACACTGCCGGCAAAGCCATTTATCATCCGAATCTATCACAGTAGAATCAATATTTGGCGTGTGACATAGCTGATGATAACCTGAATTCAAAAAAGAATTTACAGGGTTTAAAGAACATTAAACGCCTTTCCTGTCTTGACAAGTGCAGGAAGGATCATCACATTGATACAGAAACAACAATTTATTCCCCAACTGATCATCAACAACATGTCCCGATATATTACCAGGTGCAATAAATGATATGGTGGTATGAATGCTACAGGGACCATGCCAATGCAAACATCTCTACATGCAGGATAAAACTAAAGAAGCTGATAAATTTCTAAAATAATGCAAGTTACCTTGACCACATTTATCACATATAACCATTTCATTGGGTGCTTCTGAATATTCTTCTTGACATATTGTACAGACCATTTCCCCACTTTCAGTCGCTCCTAAAAAAAGGGAGGGTCTAGGTTTACAATTTTTAAAAGTTCATGTATGCCATTTCAAGAGCAATATTCAAATATATATATATAAGACTTTTAAACTAGTTGTGATTAGAAAACCAACAGCAGTCAGCATACGGGGGAAAGAGGAACAGGCAGTAAGCTGAGTGCATTAAGACCCAGCAGATACCAGTGTTTGAGAACAAGTTGAGAGAAGGACAGCATTAGTTGTGAGAGCGAGTTGTGAGGACAGGAAGTACATAAAACAGGAACAAAACTGATGTTGACTAAAGTTTTTCTCTAGAGCAGTGTGAGGAAATTAAGGAACTTAAATATATTGTGATCTCAGAAGCCCCAAGGCACTGTGTCTTTCTGCACCTACATATTACAGACAACCAACACTTTTCATCCTTATACTGGGTGGGATCTGAGAAAAAGAGTCTGAACATTCACACTAATGAACACAAAACTAAAAGAACAAAGACGCAGAAGGTGCTTGCCTGTTTGTATGTCCTTCCAAAGAACCCAGGATTTTGAGCTGTCTTCAAATATAATGAAGCAGCTCTGTTTCAGTTTGTTTATCTGAAAACAAGAATAAATTTGAGGTTGCTACATATAAAACCACCAGTACACATAAGAAAATGATTTAATAGTACCTATTAATGAATTACCTTTTTGATAGTTCCAAGATAAAACAAGCCATCTGACCACCTGGCTAGGACATCTTGACCTTCTTCAAATTTGCACACTGGCTTTTTGGCTTTCTGTCCATCCCGTGAGGACAGCTTGGTCACAGAGACTGGTGGCTTTTGGTGTCGCCGTAAAGGAGACCGCTTGTGGACCACTGAATTACCCACCCCCGTAGAGTCTCTAAAATTAAAAAGCAACATTAATATGACCTCTTAGATTGATTTCTTGCAATAATAAAAGGGTATCAACTTGTACAGTTTCAAGCTCTGCTAGCCATGTGTGACATTGAAACTCAACAAAGGGGTTGATATTCTTACAAGGGCACTACTCAGAACAGGTGTGGGGCTGAAAGAAGAACTAATATAGCCTTCTAGAATCATGTTCCAGGTAGGAACCACCACAGTATCGTAGCCTTCAATTCCTACTCAATCGTCAGTGACACTGAACACTGCTGAGGAATTCAGGAGAATCTGGAAGATAGCACTCTCAATCTATTCCAGTACCTATCTCCATCAAAAACAGCCAAGGAATTTTATGTACCAAAGCCATGACCTAGAAAATCAGTTACATCTACAGGCCCTTGGTGCTGAACCCACAATCTTGCCCCCAAGGAGAGACTGAGATGGGCTGACAGATGCGATTCCATGAATAATCTAATGAAGGTACCTTTAGGACTAGCATCCAAACCACCTCCTCCAAGGTGGTCAGGCTCATCTCCTTTTTCAAGGAAGAGTTCCCATATCCAGGCAGTAACTCTCTTTTGGGCAAAAGTGAAGCAGGCAGGTTGTAAAAGAGACCTTTCCAAGCATCCTGTTCACATTTTCAGGTTGTAGTGATCCAACCAAATAGGAGAAATCACTGCTCTGGAGGTGCCTAGTACTGTTATCAATAGGGGTATCCAGCTGGCCACAGCATTTTCATATTCCAGAGATGAACCATGGCTTCAACACGATTTCCCACCATGTCCTACAGTTATCTACCTGGATCATCTGGAAATCACCTGGAAACCATCTGGATCCATTCATCTCAAAAAGCAGACTAAAGCCGTTCCCCAGCCCTTTGGAGGCATAGGGTCCTCCCACTACCCAAAGCCTTGCCAGATAGTGATCTGTCCTTGAAAGGGAAATCACAGAAATATTCTGTTTCAAATCACCACCCTCAAGGCCAGCCTATTCCCGTTCTTCCATTCTTCACCTTGGCTACGTCCCTCATACCTTGCTTATCTCACAGGGTCATTTCTGAGGATGAAACGGGAAAGGGAAAGGAAATCACACATGGCACCCTGAGCTCCTTGGATAAAGGGTGGGATAAAAATACATTAGATCGATAGAATGAAGAGCAGGTCAAGTATGTGACCTCCAATACATGTAAGGCTGAAGACATTTGGGGAGAACCCCCCTACATTGTCACAATAATTCTCCCCTAGACTCAGTCAGGGGAGTCTGACTGAGGTGACACCTCTGTCTGCACAGATATGAAAACGGTTAGGCAGCAAGGTAGGCAGGACACCAGCAGAAATTCTGTCTGGCACCAGAAACTAGGTAAACAATGAATACAAAACCCTAACCTTGGTGTGAGGGAAGCTGTCCTATTCCTAAACATCAGCATTATGTTGTTAGCTCTTGGTCGCCTGAGATTTCTCCAGCCTCGTTTAATCCCTGGAAATTTCTCTTATATGATGGCTTCTGATGTAGTGTTTTTTTAAATACATTCAAGCGGCAATCACTAATGAGAAGCAAAACCTCCACAAGTGAAGCCTATGGAATGAAGAACCACCATGTTAAGACCTACATGGTAGGTCCAAGGTAGTTTACAAAAGTATACAAGAACCACTCTGTATTGCTTGCACAACTAAATGTTGGTTTGATAGTATTCACATGGATAACAAAACAGAGATGCAAAATCATTCTCAACAGACAGCATAGCAACTGGCTCCAAGTAATCTTCTGAGTAGGTGTACTGTGCCAGTTCAACAAAACTTTATACAAGCTCTAGAGCAATGCATTTGCACAGTAGTCAGCAGCATTAGAACAAAACTATCTGAACAGCAGACAGCAACACTGCTCCCACTCTTTGAATATAGAGGTAGATTTCTGGATAATTGATTTAATATTTATAAACTACTTTATAAATATTATTATACATTGTAGGTCCAGAGTGGTTTACAAAAGTGTAGAATCGATACTTTCCCCCATGCTCCCTTAAATGTGGAAAAGTAATATTCTGAGCTCAAATAAATGCAGTAAACCCAGTTAACCTGATATTTTCTCTACATGGTAAGGATGGTGGGAGGTGCCCCCAAGACTCTTACCAGGCTGAAATTTGAGTAAATAGGGCCACTGTCTTCATCTCTACAACCACATGAAAATCCTAGGGCAGATAAATGAATAAAACTGACCTAGAAAGAACTTCTGCTGCTAGAAGGGTCTTTCACATTAGCTCTATATCATAATACCTTTCAAACTTGACAACTACACAAATGAGAAAAAGTTACATAAGGCAAAGGTTTAGATCTCACCTTCTACAAAAGCTAGTTAATTTTTTTTTACCTAAATAACATGCTAAACTTGAAGAATGAACTGCGAACAGCCCACAGAGGAACCTGTCAGACTTATAGATTATGTACTCAAGAGTAAGTCCTACTGAAGTAAATGTGACTTGTGTGTGCACAAAATTGCACCCTTCAAGTATGTGGCAACAGCTTCATAAAGCGGCATGCATTTCTACTTTTGTTGGCAATAGTAACATTTCAGACAACAGTAACTTGTCAGGCAGTAAATCCGATCAAGATGTCCTGTCCTCCTTATATTTACTTTAAATTCAAAGGCTTTTCCAAGAATTTCAAGCATTTTATAACATGTTGAAGTACACAAGCAATTAAGTGCTCAATACAGAGGGAAACTCTATTATTACATTGGCTATGAAATATGACTCATGACCTCTGCAGTTAAAACTATTATTTTGCTCTCACAGCATATTAAAAACTTGGATAATGAATATGAGAATAGTTCTGCCATGCAAATAACAGAATATTCCATGTCCTTTTATGTCCTCTGCAATGACATACTTGAGTACCACTTAATATTTAATATAATTTACTCATGATTTAGCAGCTGTAGCTTTGCATTAGTTGAAAATACATTTCACAGGATTAAGATTTTAAAATAATTTTGACTAGTGTTCAGAAATATTGACTTGATATTTTATTTATATCTCGCTTGATTTACTGTGATTGCAAATATTTGCAGGAGGTTTGTGCCAAGTCGTAACTTGTAACTGACTACATTGCAACTAAGACATTTTCAACAAAGAAATTAAATTTTAAGTGCTCGTGAACCAGTTCCCACCCCGCCAATCTACATGAAATTAAAATAAACTGACTAGGTACAGCTTTTAAGTTCTGTTACTATTCAAATAAAAGGAATCTGCTAAGATTGCTTTTAAAAAGCTAGAATTTCTAGATTTTATTTACAGGAGATAGCATTAGAAACATCTTGTATGTATTTATATCAAAGAATTCAAAAGATCATAGATTTTTTAGATGGACATAACACAATTCACCTTAGAGACATGGTGTCTGAGTGTGTGACAGAGAGAAATCCATGGATAATTCCTGCTTGGTAGTATCCTTTGGAATTACTATCTTATGAAGAGACAAGATACATGTTAAAACTGGTAATGCAAATCGTGGTGCTTCTAGTTCACATGTAGAGAACATCTAATGGAGGACAATTATTTGGTTCACAATAGTTACAGGTTATTTAACTCAAATTCAGAATGATAATATGAATATTCTAATAATGTAAAACAACCTGGCTGATAAAAGTGAGATGTAATCCTGAAAACAGAGTACAGTCAATAAGGCTAATAATGTTTAAATAAGGACAGCTACACTTGTAATGCTATGCTTATGAATAGTACAAACAGAATAATTTTACATGACCTAATCTACTTCCAGAAGTTTTAAGAAATTAATATCTGAACCATTAGAGAAATTTCCAAGGGAGTTAATCATATGGGGGGGGGGGAGTTCTTCACTGCTTATGGGATGACAATATTTACTAGCAATATCCTATTCATGTATCTAGCAGGAACTCTCTAAATTCAGGCCATGACCTAAAACTAGTATGCTGATCCACTACTGGGAGATATGCATACAGATGCCAACCTCTCTGTGTATGTCTACCCAGAACCCAGCTAAACAGCTGGTTCAGTCTGAGGCAACACACACAAATACACGCACAAAAGAAAGAAAAGAATCTCACAAACTAGGATTTTCTAATTAATAACTGTACAAAGCGTTCAATTTTGCATTATTCAAATAACTTAATAATAAAGCAGATTATAACCTTTAATTTGATGTGGCTGCACACCCCCATTCTGGGGCCACTAGCTGCTGCATGTTACCTATCTTGGGCCCCAATTATCTGGGAAGCAGGCACAAAAATACTTATAGTTTTAACAACACGTCCATATTCTTTGAACAAGAACTAAAAGCAGATCACTCTCCTTTCATTAGAACTCGCACCAGATCAAAGCTTCCACCCTCTGAGGAAGCAAGCAAGGGAATGTACAAATGATCATTGTTTTCCAAACACTGTTACGGCCTGCCTTATAATCCTTGCACAGAAGATTATCCCTTTCCCCTTCAGCTAGACTCTCCCCCTTTGAAGAAAAGAAAAACAACTTTTCTTTTTGGCGCATATGCAGCTGGGAACTAGCAGAGGGAAGCTGCCCAGTTTACGTGGCCGTGGCTGATCACGGCAAGCGAGGCGTGTCTAGAGGCTCAGACTCCTCTTACAGTTCTCGCCTTTGTTTTGGTTTCCACGGGACAGCAAAAGCCCCCCTTGCATACAGTCAGCCGCAGATAGGATTTATATTGCGTGCCCTTCAACTCATTCTCGACCTACGGTACTACCCATTTCCCCCATCCTATTCTTACAAACAGTATTAAACAGAGGACGTCTGGAAGGCTTCCTTCTCTCGGTCCCCCGCATAATGGGGGCGGGCATTCTGCTAATAACAACCACTAAGCAGAGAAAAGTGACCGAGGGGGGAGTAAAACCGACAAAAGCTGGATCAGAACTGAGCAATTCTTCCCCCCCTCCCCGTCAGTGTACTTCCATTACCCCCTTTGCGAGATCCCATTACCGGGGGGGGGGGGGGGGGGTGTCCCCGGCCGTCCGTCCCTCACCTCATTCGGTCTCTCCAATGGGGCCAACCGCTTCATACAGGGAAATCAGTGCGCTCAATGCGCCCTCCCCGAGAGGCCCGTCGTCGCCTGGGCTCTTCGCGGCCTCTCTGAGGCGAGCGTGGCAGAGAGAGGGGCTCACGCCAGCCTCACAAGCTGCCCGGCTCCACTACACCCCTTCGCCATTTTTCTTTCCCGCGGAGGAGAAGCTGGTGCATTGTGGGAAACACAAAGGAGCCGCTCGCTCGCCCGCCCGCCTCCCCCTCGCCAGCCCAACCCGGCCGAGCCGCGATTTCCCCGGCGAGGGGCGGGGAATGAGAGGCCGGGAGAGGAAGCCAGCCGGAGCGGAGACGTGCGGAAGAATACTGGTCGCGAGCACCTCCAAACTACGGGTGAACAAAGAGGGACTATTTTCGAGAGGGTTGGAGGCGAAGGAGTCCTTCCTGCTGCTGGACTTTAGCCTCAAATCAGACCAGGCGGGGGGAGAATGCGCTTCTGTACGGGAGAAGGTTCGTCAGGAAGCAGGCAAAGGAGGTTTCTGCGGGCAACGCAGTGAGCGGGCCCGACGGCATGGGCTCTGGCCCAAGGAAGCTCGTCCCTCACAACGTAGGTTCCTCTTAGGTGTGTCAGGACTCTTTGTTGTTCTCGCTGCAACAGATCTGCTACCTCGTTTTCCCTAACCGTTTCCGGAAAGCGTGGCCGTGTTATTCTGTTGCAGCAAAAACAAAAAGCAAAACCATAGGGGTCCTCTTGTGGCGCCTTCAAGACGACTTGTTTTTTATTCCAGCGTCCTCTCCACCAGTTTCAAGATAGCTGTACTTCCTGTAGTCCCACAATTGGCTGGAAAATGTATCCCGAGTAAAACCAGCCTAATGCGCCGTCTTTCCTCGGGCCCTTTTCCGTCTCCCTTCCACTCCCAACCAACATGCCCGGGCTTTGCTCGTCGCCCAGATGGAGAGACGTTTCTGTTAGAAGAATGAGCGGAGGATGGCCTGCTGCGGCGAGGGTGCTTTTGATCGTAACAGTTTGTGATCTGTACAACCAGTCCCAATAACTTCAACGAAATTCTGGTAGGAAAGTTATACAGAGGGAAGTTATACAGAGAATTAAAACCCTACACATTCTGAGAACACATAAAGACAACCTCCTTTTCCCTCCCTTTGGCAGAGTAGAACAAAGTGCATGCACACGAAAGCTGCTACTTGGTTGGTCTTAAAGGTGCCCCTAACTCAAACCTTGTTCTGTTGCTTCAAACCAACATGGCTACCCACTTGAATCTTTGACAGGAATAGCTATTGTTCCTTCTCAACAATCAACAAAACTGCCTGGCTTTTGACTGCCCAATACCCACCACCACTTGTTAAAGCTCCTTTGATATTAACTTCCAGTTAATGTTTAACCATTATTACCACTGATTGTGTAGTATTTTAATTTGCAGTGTGCTTTTACAGTCTTTATTGTGCTTATTCTCACACAACCCTGTTTTAATAATTCTTTATTAATTTTTAAGTTCTCACACAACCGTGTTAGGCAGATTACTAATGTTTCTGTTCTGCAGATGGGAACTAAACGTGGATTTGTTTAGAGGTATGCTCCGCCTGGCCTGGCGGGAGCGGGTCCATGGGGTTGCGAAGAGTCAGACTCGACTGTGCGACTGAACAACAAATGCTCCACCACTTCTACTTTTTTGCTTGGATTACTACATTTATTTTAATGCATTTTAAAAGAGACAGGACTGTGTCAATGGCACATAATACAATACAACTGAAAACCTGTCGGTTTTTGTTATATTCCCATCCTCTTTTTGACCATGAGGTCTTCACAGCAGTTTACAACTTTTTAAAATCCATCATTTCTTAACTGTTATGGGTCAGGTAATAGTACCATTTCCTTTACTTACTTTTCAGGAAGCATATGCACAATGAGAACGGAAAAATACACGAAGCTTGATTTCCTTTCCAGAAACTGAAGAGGACTGCATAGAGGGCCATGGCCGTAAATTAACATGACATGTGTATTTTTAGAAATAAACTTAACTCCTATTTTCAGGTTTTTGCTGCATTAAAACAAAATTAAGGAGTAGGCAACTTTTATGGCCCAAGTGCTACACATGTACACACATACAATGTATATATGTACACACATAAAATGGGGAGAAATGATTGTACTTGAAGCAAGCCGAACCCCAACAGCACTGCCAGTGTCTCAGGGATTCACCTTGGACTTCGCTGGTGGCTGTGCAGGTCTGGGATGTGATGAGGGGCATGAGCCATACCTATTGCCTTCTCCTTTTCCATTGGCATCAGCAGTGCTGCCAGAACCTTGGTTGATTGGATGGAGACCTGGCCATGGTTGCCAAGCAAAATAGTCTGATGTCTTGCTGTTGGCACATGCCAGGGTTTGCCTACCCCCCCCCCCATAGATTAATGATAGCTCACCCTGTTTGCTCTTACATCCTACTTGCCCCAAGTTTTTTGTCTACCAAGCCTGACATACTATTTCTTTTTTTTCTTCAAATTTTATTCAGTTGTAACCATCCAGTAACAAATAACAAAGTAATTCACAACATACACTATTTCTGACAAAATTAAAAAGGTAAGCTCCACTGGCATGGTCACCTTGTAATAACTCTTTGACTTCACAGCAGTTGGTTTTATTGTCTCTATTTCATTTTCACTGTGTTTCTGATAGCATAGTTGTAGGGTGATGAAGACTGTGACTGGGAAGTCTCAAGTTGAGATCTAACATCTGCCACATACTGCAAACTCCTCTCATGTCATATAGTTTTAAATCTCTTATAAACTTTTTTTGTAACTGGATATAAAATGGGGTATAAAAACCAACTCTTCTGAACCAGCATTTCCTAGAGTTTGGGTTTATTTGTTTATGTATTTGGAACATTTCTGTGCCACCTATCTAGAGAATGGGCCCAAGGAATCTTACAGTGTAAAAGTTTATAAAAACATAAAACACCATGAAGCTTATTAAAACCCGGCATTCAACAACACAGCCAGAGCAGAAAACAGCTTTAAAAGGGTCTTAAATAGTTCTCATGCTAAAAACAAACTATAAAACAATGTTTTTTAAAAATAAATAATTGAGATTAGGTTACTTGTGTTGCAGTTAAGATGATATTTATGTTCAGGGTTAAGGAAACCCACTGAATGATGAACTGTTATACCATAGCTGAGAATTCAGTTTTCAGTTCATATCTCATCTGTGCTTCGAACTGTTGTGCCTTTCTTGCCATTATCACTGGTCTTACAATGGCTCTGATTTAGAAGAGAGAAAAACAATTAAAATAAGAATTAAAGCTGAAAAATAACTAAAGGCATTTTATCTAGAGAGGGTTAAATTGAAAACCTCAGTCATGAGAGGCCCAGTACAGGGGCATAGATGTCTCAGTTTCGGGGAGGACGGGACAGGGTGAACTTAGTCCAGGCCCCGGGCCCAGTAATATAGATTACTATCTATCTGAAAACAAAGTTTGAGTCCAGTGGCACCTTTAAGACCAACAAAGTTTAATTCTGGGTATAAGCTTTCATGTGTATCAGATGCTCTTGAAAGCATATACCCAGAATTAAATTTTGTTGGTCTTAAAGGTGCCACTGGACTCAAACTTTGTTCTGTTGCTTCAGACCAACATGGCTACCCACCTGAATCTATCTATATTCAATTATTTAAATATAAAATTATGTTTCTAACAGATGCTATCAACAATCGTGGTTTGAAAAATATATATTTTTTCACTTGTAATAGTCTGAGCCTCAGTCAAACAAAGAGGACTCTAAGAGAAGAGGAAAGATGTCATGAAATCCTTCACTGGGATAATTTGAGTAAATATTTCATTTGTGTATGAAAGGAAATACTTCCTATCCCCCCCCCCCCCTCCCTCAGACCTACCGCTCTATGTGACTGTCCCAAGGTCACACAGTGTGCTTTGTGACTAAGTGGCTTCTGAAAATCACGAGAGCGGTACATGAAGAAGCTTCTTCAGAAAAATTAACAGACTTCTTCGTAAAGGTAAAGGTTCCCTTGCTCGAAAGGCAGTCGAGTCCGACTCTAGGGTTGCAGTGCTCATCTCCGTTTCAAAGCCGAAGAGCCAGCGCTGTCCGAAGACGTTTCTGTGGTCATGTGGCCGGCATGACTAAACAAGGCGCACGGAACGCTGTTACCTTCCCACCGAAGTGGTACCTATTTATCTACTTGCAATTTCTTGCTTTCGAACTGCTAGGTTGCCAGGTAGCAAATTAGAAGATGGCATAAGTGCAGCCAAAGGTGCTTTCACTTTCCACACTGTTAAGCACCACAACCATTACAAAGTGATGAATTGCATATCAGGCCTGCTAAAGAGGACATTCCTGGATTCTGATGTTGCAAGACAATTTTACAGTGCAAGAACTAAGACAGACTCAACGCAGTTATAAATTCTCTTTTGGCACCCAATTCTGTTGAAAATGTTTTGGAAAAGTGTTGAAGAAATAAATTACTGTGGAGTTTCTACTGATGGGAGCAATCATGGTTCAGTAACGCTGTTTCCAATAATTGTTCAATATTTTGTTTGGAAAAGTTGTGGCTTACAGTCCAAATTAATTCAACTACAAAGCCAACCCAATGAAACTGCAGATAAAATTTCATAGCTAAAGGAGACCCTAGATTAGAACGTAAAGGACTACTTCAGGAATGCATCACATTCACAGGTGACAACTGCTGCACACTGTTTGGAGGATTGTGATGGAATTCTGAGGGGGAAAATGTTTGCAAATTTGAAGAAACTGTTCAGTAAGTAAGCTCCCATAAATAAAAAAGCCGAATGGTGGTGGCACTTCTCTAGAACATTCCACATGCTTCGGAATTGGTTGGCGCCCTGGTGTGTCACTCAGAATCTGTCCCTACCCACTGGCTGCATTGCTTGAGTCTTGCCTCCAAAGTTCTAAACAGTTTGCTGTTCATCTCCCCCCATAGCCAGTCAGAACACAGAGGTTATTTGCATATGCAGCCTCATTGGCCTTTGCCTCGGAACACAGAGGTCGTTTGCATATGCAACTTGATTAGCTTTTGCCTCTAACATTCTAAACAGTTTGCTGTTCTGAGGTAAAATGTGTCCAAT